GTGGGGCAGCCCGCGCTGCCCTGGGCCCTCCCTCAGCTGCCCCGGTGCAGGGCTTGGGACTGCAGCCTACGAAGGGGCCCCAGAGAAAAGGACTGCAAAGGGCAGGAGCAGCACCCCGGGGTGCAGTGGGGTGCATCGTCCTAGGACGGTTTCCTGCCCCTGCCTGGAGGGAACCTCTCCCCAGGCTGCCCGGGAGGAAGAGCCGCCTCTCGCTTACTGTGTTGGCAGGATTCTCCGAAATGAATCTCTCGTTCAGGTCTTTGTAGAACACCATGAGGTTTGCGAGGTCTGTCCTGAGAGGAGAAACAGAAGGCAGGCTTAGGGTTTAGTAAAACAATAACATGAAACATACTGAAAAACTATGCAAATAACCAGTCAGACCAGTAGGGCTGGGCCGCTCTAAGGGAGCTTTTTCCCCAATTGCCATCATTAGGGCTTCTGAGATTATATCTGAGCTTGAGGTGCCAGCTAGAAACTCGTACATGAAACTTACTTGTTCAGCTTCTTGTTGATTTTTTGCCCTTTGTCCCAAGAGAGAACTCGAAGCATCCAGTCCTGGAAAAAAGGCAGAAAATACTGCTCTAGCCATGTGTGCGTGTGTCGAAATCCCCTGGACAGGGAGTTCTTGCTCTACATCTCCTTGGACCAGCTTGGGTGGCAGAACTGAATGTGTCATGAGCCAGCTGCCCCTGAGGGGATCTCCCAACCCACAAGCCAGATTTTAGTTTAATGGTGAACTCCTGGAGGGGGAGCCTTGACCTGGACACAACAGACTGACCCTCTGGGAGGAGCATCATTGAAGTGCTAACGAATAGCCCAGGGGGCCCTTGCTTCCTTGCTGAACCTCTGCATATATTTCATGCCTCGTTGTGCTGCTGCAGCAATTAGGAACTGACCTCTGAGACAGTGGATGGCCACTGGGCGATGCTGGTGGTGAGTGCCCACTCCTTGAAGCTGGAGAGAGAGAGAGAGGGACAGGCTTTGAGTTGAGCTTGAATTCCCCCCCAGGCAGCGTTTCACCCCTGGTCCTGGGCAGGACTTACCTGCAGGCATCTTTGCAGATCTGCTGGCAGCCAAGCTGCTCCTTCACAAACTTCTCGTGCAGTCTGTAGTAGCAGTACACTGTGAGAAAGGAGCAGGATGTGTGTGAGGGGCTAGGAGGAAGAGCAATGACCTTTCCCTGTCTGTCCTGGAGTGGGGTTTCTGGGGTGCAGGTGGCCTTTGTGGCCATCACCTGCGTGGTGGGGATAAAAGGTTTTATTCTATAAATATTGCAAAATGCTCTGAGAAGTTGTTGTCACTTGCTATAGGAACCAACAATTGCCTCAGGCAGTGAAGTCCTCTGCTCGGTGCTGTGCACAGGTCACAAGCCTTTAGGGCAACTGTCAGAAACGAGTGGCTCTGAACAGGAGAGGTGGTGGTTGGCTCTGTGGTGTGGGGTCTCCAGTGGGCCGAGGCAGATTTGCCTCTTCCCAGCACGCTGTGTGGCTGGGGAGGTGCTGGGTGCAGGCAGGGCTGTGCCTGGCAGCGGGCAGTGTTTCAATACTTACTCCAGTTGGGGTTTTTCTTGTAGTTGCAGTACTCAGCCCCAGCAGGTAAGGGCTGGGCGTACTGGGCACAGCCACACGAGTCCACCATGGCCTTCTGAAAGCAGGAGTGCAGGCAAATCTGGGGGAGATAAACCAAGAGCTGGTATCTAAGAAGCACAGGCTGCTGCTATCAGGTTCCCACTTCCCTGCTGCTAGCGAATACAAACACAGGCAGAAAGTGCCATGGAGGGTTGAGGCTCCAGCACAAGAAATAGGAAAATAATGCTGAGGGGGAGTCCTGGGGATGTCCCTGCTTCCCCAAGAGCCAACAACAGCTTCAGTGTTGCAGCTGCTCTGTCCACAGACAAGAAAAAGGTTTTTAGTCTGCTATGGTATGTGGTCTGTGAATCAACAGCTAGGTGTGGGAAGTGATTCACTGGTGAAAATGTTCACACCTTTGACCAAACTGTGTTGGTGCATATTTGGAGACCTGAAGTTGTGAAGATTAATAGGGTGGTAAAATTGGTGTTTTATGATAAAACACTTAACCTGTTGGAACAAGCAGGAACTGAACCTCTCTTTTTGAAATCCCAACCAGGCCTTTTGGTCCCAGTCACAGCCCTCCTGAACACTGAGTTTTGGTGAAGTACTGTTATTAAAAACCTGAGATAATGTCTGTCTGATTCTACCTGGCAACACATCACAGCAGATTTCAGGTAGAATACCCCATAAAATAAAAATCCTGCTCAGCCACAGGCTTTGCAGTCAGCAGCATCCAGTACAATCACAATTCTTCAAGTCGAGAGTGCCAGAACAACTGACACCCTCCAAGAGGACCCAATTACAGAAACCATGCAAAATTAGTGGAAACTTACTCTGTAAACAAACATCCTGCTATCTGGATACAGATTAGATGGTATCTGTCATTCTTGGAGTCCTAAAGGTCACAATTTCTGGCTTCAAGGGTTACTAAGCTGCAACATTTACTTGGCCAATATTTTCCAGTCTCACATTGCTTGAAAATTGCCTAATGAGCTCATGTTCTCTCTTTATCTGACAGGACGCCTAAGGGAACTTCAAACATCAACCACTTAGGAATAAAACTTGGATTTTAAAAAGTGCTGTGGTATTTTACATCGCTGGTCAAAAGCAGTGACCCTGCACCTGGACTGTTCCCAATCTCAGATCCTGAACTACACAGCATGGTAAAGCTTTTTATGAAGGCAGCTTTCAAGCGACTGAAAAAAACAACTGAACAGATTTACCTGGAGTGAGTAGCTCTTGTTATAGAGATTTTCTACTGGTATGTCAGCACCAGTCTCCGTGCAGTCACTGTAGGGCTTGCTCAGCTTGCGAGACCGAGTCTGAGAACCAGAAAAGAACAAGTCTCAGTTTTTGGAGTGCACAGAGAGCCCAAATGATTTAGTGGCAGTTCATCATGTTTCTGAAACTGTAAGTGATGGGGCAGGTTTGAACAGCATGTTCCCTGTCTGCCATCTCAAACGATTTGTCAATCACTTGTCAAAACAAGGGTTGGGGTTGTTTCTTGTTTGGTTGGTTTTCTAATATCCATTTTCCCAAAACACTGCTCTGGCTGGATTAGCTGCTGTCTTCCTTGGAAACCTCTGCAGAAAAGCTGAGATGGTGTAATTGTAACTGAGGATTTTTCAAAGGGTAATTCATATGTATGTTTTCTCCCACTGCAAAGTCCTAGAGGCTATGCATTGTTTATCCTGGATGCCTTGTTTGTGTTTTGAGGGAATGGGGGTTGTTGGTTCTTTTGTTTCCTGTGAAGCCCCACACCTTCCTGACCTGTTGCTGCACTGGCTGCTCCTGTTCCACAGGCAAAACAGCACTTTGGCCTCCGCTGGTGCCCAGCAACACCTCTCTAAAATCTCTCTAGATCAAGTGTTTGTACCTGCTTCAGGACTTTTTCCAGGCACTGCTTTGACCCTTCCTCTCCAGTGAATGCTATCACCTTTTCCTGTTCTGCAATCTCTGTCCTGAGAAAAGAGCTCTGAAACGTCACGTGCTGCGCCCACGAAGTCTGCTGCAAGCAGGGCTGGGAGCCTCAAATCCACACTGACCTGGTTCAGGCTGTGTCGCCTGCTTCCTGCAGACCTTGCTCAACACTGAACTCCTACCATCGTGCTGCAGCAACTACCCACTTCACAACAAAGACAGTGGCTTGAAACCCTCTGTCCTGAGAAAAGAGCTCTGAAACGTCACGTGCTGCGCCCACGAAGTCTGCTGCAAGCAGGGCTGGGAGCCTCAAATCCACACTGACCTGGTTCAGGCTGTGTCGCCTGCTTCCTGCAGACCTTGCTCAACACTGAACTCCTACCATCGTGCTGCAGCAACTACCCACTTCACAACAAAGACAGTGGCTTGAAACCA